AAATAAAAAATTTAAAATCCTATGCAACAAGACAAGTATTTTGCCTTTATCACCTCTGTGTGTTTAAAAATGTATACATAATGGCTTTATCTTTCTTTCTTAGTGGACCAGGACTGCATGCACTTTAGCTGTTTCTAAGTTGCTAGACTGAATACTAATGCTAATTATTTTCCCATTACTGTCTGGGTCTTACTCCCAAAATCAAATATGCACCCTCTCCTGCTGTTTCCAGAGTAGCTCAGAGCTCAAACATCTCTCAACACCCCTAAGGGGATACAGGACAGAGGCTGGCTTATGCCTAGGATCCCTTCCTTCTGAGGGGAAGTACTTTAGCCTGAATTAACCCTTCATTTGATCACTTGGCTTCTTAAAGGTGCAAGGCAGACTTTTCTGGACAGTTCAGACACCACACAATCCAAGACATACTTCAAATGATGATGGATAGACTTCATCAATACCAGAAATGCTACAATTAACTATATATCAAACATGGTGGTCAGCTTTGTGGTATCTAAGATAAAGAAAGTTAACAATTACACTGTGATTCATAAAGCTCAAAACTGCCATCATTTTTAGCCCAAAAGCCACTTCTATTCTGCTGCAGGGCTCTTTTTATGAATGAGTCAGATATTAATACAAGGTATCAACCAGAAAAAGTCAAAAGCAGGTAATATTAGTTCTGATCATTTTAGAATTCAGTAAACCATCGATTCACATATTACTGACATTCACTGCACTTCTGTCAATTCACAGACACTCCAGATTCTCCTAGAGTATCTGCACCAACCTCCAGAAGAAGAACAAAAGATGCTACAAGAAGTGAAGAGTAGTCCCATTCCACCTTCTCTCATCAAAACAAAATCATGCTTTAAAAGGGCACATGCTCTTTGAAATAAATGTTAACATTTGTATAGGATTGAATCTGCACTATACTGAACACCATTTTATATGCAGAATACATTAACTTATGGAAAGAAATTTATCTTCTAAGGACTATATTAACTGCAGCAATCTCAGATAGCTTTCGAGTCATTCCAGAGGTTCACTGCGTTTTGAATTTGCCAAAGAAGTATCAATGGCATAATTTCCATACTTTGCATTTTTGCTAGTCCTAAGAGGATATCAAGGCATTCTCCTTATGCTCAAAGGAGGGGCTCTGATGAACTCACACATGGTCTCTAGATCAAATATGCAAATGATAAAGAAAATTTATTTTGCTGTTTTTAAAATATTTTTAGTTATTTACTTATTTAGAGACAGAGTTTTACTCTGTCACCCAGACTGGAGTATAGTGGTGCAATTATAGCTCACTGCAGCCTCAAATTCCTAGGTTCAAGCAATTCCTCTGCCTTAGCCTTCCAAGTGGCTAGAATTACAGGCACATGCCATGGGGTCCAGCTAATTTTTTCTTGTTTTTTTATAGAGACAAGGTCTTGCTATGTTGCCCAGGCTGTTCTCAAACTCCTAGCCTCAAGCGGTCCTCCCACCTTGGCCTTCCAAAGTGCTGGGAATATTTTGCTATTTTAAAAAAAAAGCTAGGTTCTTATTTGAAATATGTATTTGAAAGGGATTAAAGAGCTAAATATAAACAATATAGAAAATAAGAAGAAAATATAGGTGAATACTTTTCTGATATTTAAATTTATAAGCATAAAAGCAATTTAAAAATTGCAAAAAAAGGAAATGACAAATTTGATATTTCAGAGAAACTGGGAGAAGGCTTCAGGTCATCTTTTAAAAGTCATGCAACCCAAGCTAAATTGTTATCAGCTTAAAAAAGTCTATTATAATTGAAAGGTGGCCATATTAATAACATACCTAACAGAGGAAAATAAACTATCAAACATAAAGAGAAATAAGCCCATGATACATAATTAACAGAATGCTAGGAGGAGGTCTTTACCCAGCAATAACCACTTTGAATGTAGATCGATTACAATTCTCCAACTAAAAGACACAGAATGACTGAAGGGATTTAAAAACAAAAATGAAGAACAAAAACCAAGACCCAATTAACACAGACTGAAAAATGAAGGGATAGAAAAAAAATACTCCATGCAAACAGAGACCAAAAGCAAGCAAGAGTAGCCATATTTATGTCAGATAAAATAGACTTTAAGTCAAAAAGTATAAAAAGAGACAAAGAAGGTCATTATATTATGATAAAGGGATCAATTCAACAAGTGCATATAACAATTATATATGCAGCCACCACTGGAGCACTCAACTATATAAAGCAAGTATTAATAGATCTAAAGGGAGAGATAGACTGCAATGTGGTAACAGTAGAGGACTTCAACAACAGACACATTTCAACAATAGACAGAATCTCAACAAATAGACTTAAACTCCACTGCAGACCAAATGGACCTAACGTTCTATCCAACAGCTGCAGAATATACATTCTCCTCAACTGCACATGGAACATTCTCCAGGATTGATCGTATGTTAAGCCACAAAACAAGTCTTAACAAATTTAAGACAACAGAGATTATAATCAAATATCTTTTCAGACCACAATGGTATAAAACTGGAAGTCAACAAGAAAAAATTCATAAACCTTACAAATACTTGGAAATTAAACATGTCCTAAATGACCAATGGCTCAATTCAGAAATCAGGAAGGCAACCTCAAGAATGGAAAAACAAGCACCACATGTACTCACCAGCAAATTGGTATTAACGGATCAACACCCAAGTGGAAATATAGGAGGTAACATTTATTGGGTGTCGGGAGGGTGGGGGGGGAGGAGGGGATGAGTATATACAACCACAATGAGTAAAATGTGCAACGTTTGGGGGATGGACATGCTTGAAGCTCTTACTCGAGGGGGGGGCATGGGCAATATATGTAACCTTAACACTTGTACCCCCATAATATGCTAAAATAAAAAAAGTAAGAATAAAATAAAAATAAAATTTAAGATGAAAATGGAAATACATAATACTAAAACCTATGGGACACAGCAAAAGCAGTTCTAAAAAGAAAGTTCATAGCAATAAATGCCTGTATCAAAAAAGAAAGATTTCCAATAAACAACCTAACCATACAACTCAAGGAACTAAAAAAGCAAAAACTAAACCCAATATTGGTAAAAGGAAGGAAATAATAAAGCTCAGTATAAATAAATGAAACAGACTAAAAAACAATTCAAAAGATCAACAAATGTTTACTGGCTGAAGCTTTGATTCTGTACAAGTTTCTGAATTTAATCATTGACAAGTGATTAAGGCACGATTCCCACTCTCAAGAAAATTACTACAGGAAATAAGTACAAACTTGCATCCGCCACAAGGCATCAGGTAAACAGCACCATGGGAGTAGTACAGGGTACCAAAGACATCAGCTCAAAAGCCCCAACTATTCCCTGAAGTATATACCACCCATGCGGTGTTCCATGATCAGTTGAGCTATGCAATCTCATGCCTGCTTTCCATGACTGCCTGTCCTTTATCCCTTCTGCTCAAGTGCATTTCCCTTGCAGCATGTCAAGGGTAGTGGTTGACACCAGGAATCCCCATCCTTTGTGGCACTAGGGACTGGTTTCATGGAAGACAATTTCTCCATGGACCTGCGGGTGGGGCGTGAGGTGGTGGTTTCGGGATGGTTCAAGTGCATTACATTTATTGTGCACTTTATTTCTGTTATTATTGCATTGTATTCTATAATGAGATAATTGTACAACGTACCATAATGAAACCTCTCTGCTAATGAGAATCCGTATTTGCAGCTGCTCCCCGGCACTAGCATCACCGCCTCAGCTCCAACTCAGTTTATCAGGCACTAGATTCACATGAAGAGCACAACCTAGATCCCTCACATGCAGTTTGCAGCAGGGTTCGCGCTCCTACGAGAATCTGAAGCTGCTGCCAATCTGACAGGAGGCGGAACTCAGGTGGTGATGCCAGCAATGGGGAGCGGCTGTAAACACAGATGAAGCTTCGCTCACTAGCCTGCTGCTCCAACCTCCTGCTGTGCAGCCCAGTTCCTAACTGGTACCGGTCCCCGGCCTGGGGGTTGGAGACTGCAGGTTTACACACTACCACGTGTTTCATATCCTGGAGAAAGCCAGGACAATCCGTATTCCTCCCCAACAGGGAGATGGGACTGCCCTGCAGAGAAGTGAACCACCAGGACACCTATCCAGAAATCACACTGCATCTATGGACTGCTTATTAGCAGAGCGTTAGAATTAATTAGCATTTAGAGCCCCATATTTGCAGGAAGCAAATCACTCTCCATGATTTCTGGTTTCCTCATAATGTCTGGTTTACAGTCTTTCAGCAACCATTTCTGCCTCCCTCAGTATTTTTGACAGGCATTTAAACGATCATTTTTCACCATTATTAGAATAATACGTACTAATTATAAAAAATTTAGAAGATGCAGCAAAGTTGATAGCAGAAAAAATACCATGCATATTTTCTTACAAACACTATTAATGATCTGGTATATTTCCACTTAATCTCTGCTTGATTTAATAGCTATTTAAAATTAATATGCCCCATAAGCCAACCCTCGTCAAAATCACCAGTAAACTAGGATACAAACTGCCATCTGCAATCTCTTTCAATTAGGAACAAGTCTGTATCTTCATGACTGTAAAACAACCAGTAGATTCAGTTTAAAAAGATTAAATTCAATGGAGGGAAAATTGGTTAAAAGTGAGTTGTTTAATGTCTGAATACAAGCTGGCACTCCTCATTTCTCTGTTATTAATAATTTTTTCAGCAGCCTAGTAGTTGGAATTAAGCTAGTCCATGATGTTGGGTAACTGTCACTTCAGATATAAATCCCTTTACACATTGATTTCCTTAATTATTTAATCATGTATGATTCTGGGAGACTCAAAAATCCATGGCATTAGCAATGTTTTCTGGGTAAGTACACAACTGCCATTATTTGTCACGATACTTGAGGATTTATTTTCCATTTCAGCCTTTCATAATATAGTAAGTATGCTATTTAATGTTATCTAAAACAAAAATTTTTGGCTTACCTGATTAAGAAATTATGCAGTCCAACGTCAAAATACCTGTTCAGAGGAGACAGAGAAGCATGTCAATAAAAGATATTTACACTAATGGTGGACTTGACAAATATATATATAACTTATAGCACAATGAATAAATCCATCACTCTAGGAGAGTGTCAGCAGGGGCATTATCTGGGAACTTGCTGGAAAGGCAAATTCTCACCACAGACACACAGATTCAAAAATTATGGGGTTGGGCCCAGCAGTCAGAAGTCACAAGCCCTCCAGGGGACACCAATGCAGAAACACTGCTCTTTGGTAGCAAAAGCATCTCAGCAAGCCTAAGTGTGCTCTCTAGAAATAAAGGCCATCAAGTGTGGCTCTCCCAGGTACCACCCCCACTTTGCTAACAGGTGAGTCCTTTTGTAATCCTAGTGTCTCAGATGTTTAATTATTGAAAAATAAATGAAACAGGTTTTCAAAGCCCAAAACCCCACCAGCCAATGGGGAAAGGGGGGTGTCAGCTCTGGTCTTCCAGGCCCCACCTAGTTATGGTCCCTGGAACTTTCCACCTGCCCCACACCTGGGTCTGCCCCGAGCAGAGGAGAGAGGAGAACTCCACGTACTAGCTGCCAAGCCTGCCATCATGCTCAGCCTCACACTCGAATTCTATAACCCCCAGGCCATGGTGGACCCTTTAAGTTGCAGCCTTCCCCTGACACGACGACACTGGCTTAGCACATATAAATGGCACTGCCTTGGTTTCCCCCTAATTAGCATGCTTATTCTCCTTGAACCTCCGACCACTTAGCCAGTGCCCTTCTCTCCCTTGGGTCTGGCTGCGAGTGAAAAGACTGGGTGGCCAGAATCATACTGCTGCTGTCCACCAGGCATGATTGCACCCCCAACACCTAAAGGGGGGCTGCTGTGCCCCACCCACCAAACCCACCTCTTGGTGGCAGTCCGCCCTAATAAGCCCGAGTTAATTCGGTCCCTTCAGACGAGGGGCAATGGGCACAGGAACTCACCCTACAGTGGGGTCCAACTGCCCAGGCCCTAGCAGACTGTCCCTAGCTTCCAGCTGTACCCCTTTCTCCCTGTCCCTGGAGCAGCCCCGCATGTCTGGTACCACACCCTACCTGATATATGACACGTGACTGCTGCTATCAGAATAGGATTCCTTCTGAGATACCTTTGAATGACCAGATTCTTTTAAGTACTTAAATATCTATTTACAGATCATGGACAAAGGGTAGGTGAGAATAGAAAAACTTAAATCCAAAATACAAGCTACCTCATTTGTTACACCACTTAGCTGAAATAGTTACATAATTCAGGGAAAATGAGATTCAAGACATATGGATTCCATTTATTCATAAGTCTTCTGCACAAAGCTGTTCTCTAAAGGGAGATCCAACTGCAGGGAGAGCTGATTTGGTTCATTTGATTTTACACTGACCTTGATAAGATGCCAAGTTCTCCCTATAATTATATTTAACACAGATTTTTTAAAAATAGAAATAACCCCTCCTCCTCTCAACCAAAACCAAGGTTACTTTGCTTAGCAACATGAGTAAATATCCATCCCACAGATAGAAAGCCTAAGTTTGCCAGATCTGCAATATGGGAGGAAGAAGCATATATAGATTACTAATAAAACAAAGATTCCAGCTTCCTTCACTCATCCACAGCTTATTGAGCCTTTTAAACTGTATCAGCTACAGAAAGCAACAGACTGTATTCCAGGAATCACAGATAAAAGAGACAGAGTAATGAAAAGTTTAATAGTATTAATAGAAGTTATGTAGTGTTTAGCATATGGCAAGTACTTCGTTCAGGGTTCACATGTAGAGCCAGTAAATTGATATCCCCATTTACTGGTGATGTAACTCAAGTTCAGAGAGGCTAGGTGATTTGCAGAGTTCAAAGCCAGTAGAGGACAAAGCTGGGAGCACTAAAATGCATGAATTGCTTGCTCTTCCCAAGCACCCCGCTAAAAGCTTGGGTTCTCGCCGCCTCTCACTAGCACTGATGAAAATGGCTGCTCATTTTAAACACCTACGCCTTCCTGCTTCCACCCGATTTCCACTTCTCCTGGTGTGGCTGCCCTGCTCCAAGCAAGCCCACCTGGCTCTGAACACACCTGCTCCACAGGCGCCACCTGCCCCCTCAGTCTGAGTGCCTGCCAGGCTCCAGAAAGTTCTTAGCTTCTCTAGCTTCCAGCTTCTTCACTGGGAAAATGGAGAGCCCTTCATCAAGGGGAGTTATGAGAATTCAGGGACACGATATAGAAACAAGGCTTAGCACGGGACCTGGTACACAGTCACTGCTCAATAAATGGTAATCTCCTTCCCTATTTTTAAAAGTTGTTTTAGTGGAATCTCTAGTCCCAACAACTCAGTGGGAGAAGCAAGCACATAAAAAGAACATGCAAGCCAGAAAGAGAGACCACTTAACTCCAGGGCACAGGCAGGGCAGCTGGCAAGCAGTGGGGTTGGGGGTGAGGGGTAGCAGGGACCCCTGAGGGACTGGGGCAGAGCTCAGGACACAGAAGAGCAGGAGGATGAGTCGTCCCACAGAGTCCTCACAGAGAGGCTAGAAGCCTCCAAGCATGAGTGTGGGCTGGGAGGGCTGGCAAGTGGGCCCTGGTGACCAGCAGGGAAGGCCCCAGCCTGCCTGCCCTCTTCCCGACGGCCATCTTGGTACCACACATCAGTGCAAGCCCAGCTTCACCTGTAGCCATGGTCTAACTACGGAAGTGAGGGACGGTGACATGGGCTGTACTGTAGACTCTTTCTCCCCATGAGTGAGTGATTGGTGGTGGAGGGAATCTGGGGCCAGGACAAGTGGCAGGCTTTAAGCACCCGATGACAGGCAAGCTCATTCGGAGGGAGAAGAGTATAGTACATTAATTGCCATGTGAGTTGTATTTAACTCACGCTAATTTTGAGCCTGGGGCCTCATGAAGCATATATAACTTACAAATCTCTACCTTCGGAGCTGCGTGAACTATTTTTCAAGTTGCATATAACTCACGCACAGAAAACAAAAAATAGAATGAAGTGGCATCATTATAGCTCACAGCAAACTGAAACTCCTGGGGGTTCCTGTGATCCTCCTGCTTCAGCCTCCCAAGCAGCTGGGATAACAGGTGCACACCACCAAGCCTGGCTATTTTTTTTCTATTTTTTATAGACACAGGGTCTCAACTCTTGCTCAGGCTGGTCTTGAACTCCTGAGCTCAAGTGATCTTCCCATATCGGCCTCCCAGAGTGCTGGCATTACAGGCATGAGCCACTGCTCCTGGCCCATTTTAACTGTTTTTAAGTGCACAGATAGGTCAATGGCACTAAGTACATTTACATTGTTATGCAACCATCACCATCATCCATCTCCAGAACTTTGTCATCTTCCCAAACTGAAACTCTACCCAGGAAACACTAACTCCCCCTTTCCCCTACCTCCCCCCAAGGTTGCCCTAGTGACCACTGTTCTTCCTGTCTCTATGAATTTGACAACTCTTGGTACCTCATATAAATGAAAACATACAGTATTTATCATCCTTTTTTGTCTAGATGGCTTTAAGTTTTTAAAAATAAGGTTCACCCACCAATTCATAGCAACACCATCTTTCTCTATAGACCTAGCCATGGCCTCCCAGGAATGATGTAGTAAACTGATTTACTTTCCATTTCTTGGTGCCCTGCCCGCCCCACAAAAAGGGCTGCCGGCCAACTAAAGCCCTCTCTGTTCTCCTCCTCCACCTGTAACACGTGGTCTACCTACTGGATACCAAGCAGTAGCACACCACTTGTTAAATGTTCAAAAACTAAACATATTCAAAATCACATCACATTATGAAATGTAACAATTTCTGCAAGGCAAACTTTGTCTTCCTTATTTGACTAATGGCCAGGAAATTATCCATTCTTACAGCATACCCTGACAGATTTCCATCGCAAAGCACATTTTAGGGCTTTGGAGATACTTCCCAATGACAATTTTGTGTAGCCAGCCCATGCATGAAGGTATGAGGCTATCAGTCTAAGAACTAATATTCTAGCTTCTGAGGCAGGTCATAGAGCGGGTGTTTTTTATTGCTTCTAAGAGACTTTGCAATGATAGCAAAATACGAGTTGGATGCACACAAGCTTTAATTTAATGCTGCCTATCACCTTCCTGGATCATGTAGGGAAAAAGGTGAAGCTTTGTAAGGAGAGTAAAGTGTTACAGTTTCTTGCCCTGCAGACAGTACAGCACACAGTGGAGAAAGGACGACATCAATAACTAAAGCCAACACACACATGGTGCTTAATATGTGCCAGGCACTCTCCTACTCTACGCATACACACTGTCTTTGTAACGATGCTATGAGATAGGCACTATTATCATGCCCACTTTGCAGAGGAAGAAACAGAGGCACAGAGAAAAGTATAGTGACCATCCCAGGGCCACACAGCTGGTTAGGGGTAAAGCCAGCATCTGAACCCAGATAGTCCACATTAGCTAGAAGATCCCCAAGAAAACAGGATTTCAAGGAATACATGGTAGTAATCCAAGAACATTGACTTCCTGATGTTATTACACCGTGAACATCCCAAATCCAAATATCTGGAATCTGAAATGCTCCAAAATCAGTAACTTTTTGAGCACTGACATGACAGTCAAAGGAAATGTTCATTGAAGCCTTTCAGATTTCAGATATCTGCACGCTCAACCAGTATAATGCGAATATCCTGAAATTTAAAATAATCCAAATCCAAAACACTTCTGGTCCTAAGCATTTCCAACAAGGGATACTCCACCTATACATTGCAGATATGTGGGAGAACATCCTTAGAAAGACACACTGCAGTATTTGGGGTGCAGATGTATCATGTCTACAACCTAATCTCTAATAATTTCAGGGGAAAAGTTATGTGTACTGTGCTTCTAATATTCCTCTGAGCTTATGATTAACTTTAAAAAAAAAAAAAAAAAAAGCACAATCCCTACAAATGGAAAGTCAAAAAAAAGTTCATGCTTTTTATAGAGAGAAACTAACAGCATATGCTAAAATC